AGGAAAAAATAAACCGGAACAAGGGCTAGCTTGCTCTTGTGCCTTCAACTGCAGGTTGGAATTCAGGAGGTGAACATGGAGGGAAGCAAAAGGCCCACTCATGCATTAGGAGCCTCAGAAGGGTCTTTGGTTGGAACAGTGTTTGCCACTGGTGGTGACCAAATGTTTTCTGGGGGCTCACAGGTCACCTAATATGTGTTGTAGCCCTTGTCACATAATTTCTTCCTTGACCTTTTGGAGTGGGATATTAAAGCTAGTGTGCATGTGTATGTACCTCTAGTATCTGAAAAGGAACACCCGGGACTATTTTTTTACTACTACAACAACAAAAGAAATGAGGTAATTGCTGGCGCTTCCACAAAAAAAGGGATCTTAACTATGATGCATCACTTCTGGAGCGCGTAAAGAAGCGGAGGAAAAGGAAAGAGAAGACACCACACACACACAAACACACCCAGAAGGGTGACACAAAAACATATGCTCCTCTCTTCTGCAACAGGTGCAAAGAAAGCTTCATGCCACTTTTTCTCAGAACTCTCTGTGCATGAGGATTTTGCCCCCTCCCTGGGTACCAGGATGTCCTTCTGCTCCCTGGCCCATCTTTGAAGTCCTCTGCTTTCTTTTCTCCCTACTTTGAACCTCCTCCAGTCTGTTCCCTCCCCAGTTTTGAAGTGGTAGCAGTGGAGTCAGTGGCAGGGGGAGCAGGAGAGTGAGCATCGACAGTGCCTTCATATTGGGGAATGATGATGATTGCCTATTTATGGAAACATGGTGGGGGGTCACCTGTTCCTTGGCTATTATAAAAGGGGTCACGAGTGAAAAAATGCTGGGAATCACTGAGTTAGAAGAAAGGCACAACTATGTCACACTGTGTGAGCCCAGCAAGTTCACATCCTCCCATTTAGTACGGATGTCTGCAAAAGATGGCTACAGGTGAGCCCTGCCAGACAGAGCTGTAAGGACATATGGTGGCACCCAGGGCTTTGCTGTCCTATTGATTAACTTTGGCCCATGTGAGATTGATACTTGTAGGAAAGAACAGAGAAATGGGGAGGAATGCCAGGGTCTGGCCACACAAAACCATCTTGGCTTTGCATTGAACTTGCCTGTTTTGTGTTCCCTTCTGCACAAGGAGCAGCAAATAGAAGCAGTAGATATACCCAGGCTGCATGTGCCTTTCTGACATCAAACACCAAGGGGTACCTCTGTGGCTCCTTTGGTTTTGTTCATATCTTCTTTGTTTTAATATTTTGCATCTTCTAGATTTTGATGCCCTGGGTCAAAGCCCCTCTTGTGCTTCCTTAATTAAGGATCTAGCTTGAAGGTTGGACCATTTTACTGCTCCAGTCTTTTCGCACGTGAACTGAGATATAATGATTTACTAGCATCTGTTTCTCATATGGTCCCACAACCCTGACTTTCCGACTAAACTTCTTGTATCCTATGTGCTCCACAGCAGGAGAAATCTAACCCTCACTGGAGAATGGGAATCCCACCCATGAAGTATAATTATCTCCTTTCTGACTTTCCATATCTCTTGCTCTGAACAAAACATTTGGCATGCAAAACGTCCCAGACTAATTTTGCTATCTAAATATTCCACCACAAATTTGAATGACTTCAAAGGAACCAAGAGCTAAAGTTAAATAACAAATACCATATATGCAGAATAGAACCCAAAAGTTAATATCATCTAACAGTATTAAGTGGGAGACAGGAAGCCAGGAAGGAGAGCAAAGTCAACATGTGGACAACCGTGGGTGAATCTACACCTTTCCAGTGGGGTCAGCATAAATACAGGGAACTCTTATTTTCCTAGAACCTACAGTTGCCAGGCAGGTAAAAAGAAACCTGAACAAGATCTAGCTTTCTCTTGTGCCTTCAACAGCTGGGTTGGATTTACAGAAATCGGCAGGTGAATATGGTGGCAAAAGGCCCACTCATACATTAGGAACCTCAGAAGGGTCTTTGTTTAGAAGGCGGGACGATGACACACTGCTAGTCCAGTACCTTCACATCCACTCATTTAGTATGGGTCTCCTGCAAAAGGTGGCTACAAGTGAGCACTTTCAGGCTTTGGGGAAGAGCTGTGACATTTTGGCACCTGGGGCTTCACTGTCCTACTGGCTAACCCTGGACCATGTGAGATTGACGCATATAGGAAAGAAAACAAGCACAAGGAGGAATGCCAGGTTGTTGTGTGGCTTGCCTATCTGGGTTTCAATGGTTGTAGGATGCAATTTTTCCTGTTTCCATCTTGGTTTTGTGCTGAACTTGCCTGTTTTGTATTCCCTTCTACACAGGGAAGAGCAATTGGAAGTAGTGCATATACTCAGAGTGCATGTGCCCTTCTGGCATCAAATAACTTCTTCTTGGCTAATTATACCAATGGACTTGGTATTCTTCATTCTTGGTGTGTTATTATAGTTATTCTGATGGTATAGCACTATATCCTTATATACAACTAGATCATGCTAGTGCTAGTGTGTCATATTGGCATTACCTTCTTCTGGACACTGGGGTGGACAAGTGTGACTTTCCAGATCCTTTTGGACTCCATGATCCCTCACCAAAGGCTATGCTGGCTAAAAACTTATGGGAGTTGAAAGTGAGAAACATCTGAAGAACCATAGTTGCATCTCATGTATGAGAATCCTAATGTCTCTTGCATCAAATGCTCACCTTCGAAAATGCATGCACAAGGCAACTTACATATAGACTTTTTGTATACAGTAGATGGCATGGAGACAGAATTCTGTTGTCCACCCAGAGGGAGAATTTTGCCTCCTTCTGCTGTCCATCCAGAGGGAGAATTCAGGCATGCAAGTGGCCAGAAGGATATTTCCACCTGTTTCACCTTCTGTGATTGTCCCACAGTCAACATTGGGTGCAGCAAGTCAAACAGTTCCTATTTCACTGCCCAGAAAGAGAGAGGGAACATCCAAGCAAAGACAGAGACAGTTTCATTCACTCTGTGATTACTCTACTGACCAGAATCTGATTTGTGGAACTGCACAGTTATGACAAGTAAGCAGAGAGGACCTCCCAAAAGAAACCAACAGGTTCACAATCAGAAGCAAGAAAAGTTGCACCCTACAACCACTGCAGCCCAAGTGAGCAAATTAGCAGAGACAGAGCTGTAACTAGCAATTTCGCCAGCTAGAAGAATTAGCACAAAGCATGCAATCTTTCAAAATATTGGTGCGGCATCTGACATGGTGCTGGCTGTACATGGCTACATGTCTGATTGTACAACTGGACCACATGATCAGGCATGCAGCGGCCCACCACTAGCACCTCATTATATACTGTGGCAGTTTCCACAGTTGAAGCTCAACATGCGTAAATATTGCATACTTATAAATCTTTATCCCCTCTAAATTTTTAGCACCCTGGATCAAAGCCCCAGTTGTGCCACCCTAGTTATGGCGCTTACAGCAGCTGCTTCTCATTTGCCTGCATTCTACCCATGATCAATGCAGCAGTAGAATTTGGTCCCAATCTTCCCTGCCATGACACCCAATAAAAGAACACAAGTAACAGATTATAGGAGGCTGTTTCTTCAAAAAGCAAGAACTGAAGCCTTCATGATCATTTGTTCCTGTTTCTTCCTGTTGCATGGCAGACGAGACACAGCAAGTGATGCCTGTAAGAAACAGTTGCTATGCACAGGATATTCTTTCTCCTCAATCACCATTCTCTTTGGGTGGCATGAGTGGGAGCCCCTAGAGTAATGGGTGAGGAGGAACCAGTTGCTTTTGGTTGTCGTGGGTTTTTTGGGCTCTTTGGCTGTGTTCTGAAGGTTGTTCTTCCTAACGTTTCACCAGTCTCTGTGGCCGGCATCTTCAGAGGACATCACTCTGTGCTCTGGTGAGCACAGAGTTGCTTTCCTTCCATGTATGTTTGGATGACAACACAGGAGAGATTAGACCCGACTGCCAGCCCCACAAAGAGTGAGCAGATGAATATGTGAGAGGAGGAGAAGGTTCCTCTTTACAGAAGCAACTCTTCTGCTTGTTTGTACACCTCTCTTCATCCTCTGGGCACAGCAATTGTGCCATCTGAACTCAGCTGCAGTGCCTTGAAAGAGAGGTGAGCAAGTGGGCCTCTACCTCTGGACAGCACTGTAGTGATCCATAGGGTCCCTTTCATCTCCGCAGTTCAAAGGTTATTATAAAGGTCCAGCCTCCTAATGTAATTGCCCAGAGAGGGAGGAAGCAAGGAAGCATCAACCCTACCGCATGCAGCCCAGATGAAGGCAAGGGAGAGAGATGGCTGAGCAGGCAGATGGAGTAGCCCTTCCTCTTTGCTCCCCTACCCTGCTGGGCACAGTCTTATGGTAACAGCCACACCACACCTCTCTCAAATGAGGCTCCGCGGGAAGAACTGCAGCTGTTCTGGCAACCCCCAGCCCCATACTCATTTCCACAGGTGGGGAAGCATCAGCTGCCCTTGGATACCTCCCGTCTGAGGGGAGAGCAGGAGGCGACACAGCTGTTCATGACGAAAAGTCACCCACCCTCCCTTCCCCAAGGGAGGCCGGTCTGCTCAGCTGGTCCACGGCAAGCGGGTCCTCCTAAAGTGTTGGGTCCTTGGCAAGCTGCCTCTGCCTCAATAACCGACAGGGAAGGTATATATATATATATATTTCTAAAGAAACTTGAGCGGGAGAAAAAGAGGACGAGAGGGAAAGAAGCAACGTCGAGGATCAGAGACGTGTGGGACGTGGAGCAAGGCGGTCAAATGGGTTTGGAAGGGGGAAAGGAAGCCACCATCAATGAGGAACTTGGAAAAAGGGGAACCGCAGCTGCTGTGGGGCGGTGGAGGCAAAGCACGCCGCGCGGCTTCATTGGAAAGCAAGGCTCCCCCAGGTCAGCTCTGGGGCGGCGGCAGAGGCGGGAGGGCCCCTGCGAGACGGTTCAAGGGGTCCCGCGGCTCCCCGCCCCCTCTCTGCCTCTCCCTCCCTGTCGCCCCGCTCGCTCGCCCTTCCTTCCACTCACAGCGCCCCGCTCGAAGTCGTTGTAGAAGGGCTTGTCGAGCAGGTGCCTCTCGCTGGTGCCGGCCGTGCCCACCAGGCTCAGGTAGATGTAGTCGTCGGTGCCGGCGAACCACTGGCTGCCCGTCGCCACCGTCACCGTGTAGGAGGAGGAGGAGGAGGCCATGGCTCCCTCGGCTGCACCCCACGGGGGACTCCGGGGCTGCAGGCTCTGCCTACGGCTTTTGGGCGGGCTGGGCGGCGAAGGAACAGAAGGGGAGGGACAGAGGGGACGCCCAGACACCTTCCCACCCCGGTTGACCTGATACGGCGGCGGGAAGGCAGTGCCTTCTTCGCCACTTCCTCAGAGAACCAACGTACGAGCCTCCTTTGCAGCCTCCCAAGTCGTGTCCTCCCTTGGTCGTTTAATCAATACTCAAGAGGCTGCAAGAAGAGCAGCCCCCTCCCCGACTTGTTGTTTATTTTCTCCCGGGGATTTGAAACCCCACCCCACCCCGCAACCCCACGGCCTCCCTGACTGCTGGACGGCTCGGTGGTTTAGGAATCCGACTGGTGGTTCGATTCCCCACTATGGCCCTTTGACTGGGGCTGGACTCGATGATCCACAGGGTCCCTTCCAGCTCTGCAAGTCTAAGAGATTATGACTGACCTACTCCCCGTCGTCTCTCTCCCCACCCCCCACCCCACCCCCGCTTCCATGAGGTCTCAGGAAGACCTGCTCCAGGGCGGCTGCGACTCCTGTTGCCGCAGCACGAGGCTGAAGGCTTCCCCGGTCAGCCCGAGCCACCTTCTGCCCCGAAAAGACCGGCCCTCTGAGGAAATTTTCATCTTTATTTTTAAAGTGTCATGTATGTTCATGTGGAACCAATTTTTTGCCCTTCCAAGTGAGAAAAGAAAATGACATTTTAATGGCAGCTCCCGGAATTAAATGGGAGTCCTCCCTCGGGTCCTGTACAATCACCCCACGTGCCAACTAGAAAAGGGCAGTGAACAAGTTTTGGGGCCCATTAAGTTAGTGAATTGTGGCTGGTCATGCTATCATCATTTATTCGCTAGTAGTAAGCAAAAGTCTTAATTGTGGTATTTTCCGCCTTATAGTGGCTTTGGATAGGATCACGAAATTACAGAACTGTAGTACTGGAAGAGACCACAAGAATCATGAGGTCCAGTCCCTTGCCAAAGCAGGAAATCCACAGCTAAACCGTTCCGGACAAGTGTAGCTTCTGTTTAAGAATGTCTAACAGAGCTGAGCCCAAGAACTCCTATTGCCAAGTTCTTTCTAAATCTTAGGTGAAATCTCCTTTTTTGTTAATTGGATCCATTGCTTTAGGATGAACCATGTGAACCTAGAGAAAACAAGTTTGGCTCCATCTTTCATTTGAATCCCTTCAGATATTTGAAGATGGCTTCCATACTGCCTGTCAGTTTCTTCTGCCGGCAAAACATACCCAATTCCCTCAACCATTCCTCATAGGATTTGCTCTCCAGACCTCTTATCCTAATCTTGTTTCAAATCTTTGAGAATTCTTCTTGCAGAACAGGTGAGATCCCTGAAGACTATCAGCAAATGTATCCTCATCTTAAAAATATTTTTTTTAAAGCAGGGGGAGGAGGTCCAGGCAATTCTTGACCGGTCAGTTTGACATAATAACAGTACAGTAAATCTTATAGAACAGATCTTTAGTGTCTGTTTGTGAATACTTAGAAAACAATGCTACGGTTTTGAAGACTAGAATGGGTTTCTCAAAAAATAAGTTCATGCCAGACTAACCTTCTCTCCCTCATTCTCTCTTTTAATAGAGTCACAAGCTTGGTAGATGAGGGGAATGCTGTGGACAGGGTGGACATCTTTTTGATTTCAACAAAGCTTTTGACAAAATACGTCATGATATTTTAGCAGACCTGCTTGTAAAAAGTGGTTTAGACAATTTTACCGCTCGTTGGATTTGTAGCTGGCTAATGGACTCTACCCAAAGAATGTTAATTGTCTACATTAAAATTATGCAATTCTTCTGTAGACATTTTTTTCTTCTTAACATTCAGCTGCAGTCCTGCTTTTGCATGTTCTGCTTTCACCTTCACCAGTTGTTGGAAGTCACTGCTCTGTTCTTTACTAGTAATACATATCTTAATTTACTGATATTTCTTCCACTAATTTATTTTGTCTTTCATCTGAATCTAATCCAGTTTTTGTATATTTTACAATACAGTATCTTATCCAGAGAAGGAGAAAAAAAAATACATCCTTGTTTTATACAGTATCTTTGTCTATGGGTAACCATTCTGTTTCTTTATATTTTTCATGCCCAAAGTATAGGTGTCAAGACAATAAAATGTTGAGACATACTCCTTCTAGAATGATCCATAGCTTTTCATGATCCACACAGTCAAGGGCTTTCCTACAATGCATAAAACACACACTGACTTTCTTCTGTAATTCTTTGGTACACTCCAGTAACTAACATATATTTGCAATATAATCTCTAGTGCCTCTTCTTTTTCTGAATCAATATTGAACACCAGGCATTTGCCATATATGGTAAAAGCCTTTGCTGCAAGGAAAATTAATGCAATGGTCCTATAGCTACTGTTGTCTTTGGTATCTCCTTTCCCAAAGACTATAATGAAGATTAGTGATACTTTTTTTTTTTAAAAAAAGTCATTTTCAAGCTTCAGGTTAGACAAAATATTTTTAGGTTTATTGCTATAACTTATGCTTCTCTGAGACCTACTGCCCAATACTGCCACTGATATTTAAGTTTCTACAGGACTGTCCTCCTGGATACTAGATCCCTTAGTAGTGCCCATGTTCTCCTTCTGCATATAACTTTAGCTGTGACCATGATGCTGCGACATTTGGTAGCTGTCTATATAAATTAATGATCCCAGTTCTATAGGTTGGGTTGGTAGGTTTTATTTTTAACAATGTACTATGTTTTCTCTTATGAATACTGTACTGTTCTATCTCACCTTGTTCTTTATGGTAGGTGGGCTTTTAAAATTATTGTGTGTGAATTTTATTTTATGCCCACTCATTGCTGAATATATAGAAAAGTACTAATTTCTAATAAAGTAGGTGATCTGTATGCAATCTATATGTAACAAGATTAGCTCATAGTGGTAGCAAAGGCCATGGGTGCCCCGTGAAGACAAGGAAGGAGAATTATTACTACCCCTATGAAATATCTAATATTTACAGACTGAGGTTTGGCGCACACATATCTTCTGAACCCTACTCTGAGCTGGCTGCTAGAGGAAGCCAGTGCAAATAGGGCTTTTTGAACCCTGGCAGTGTGAACTCCCATGGTGGAAAGGAGGGGAGGATATTATATAAAAAGATGACATCTTCCATGGCAGGGTGGACGTGGTAACATAGGAATTACAGTATATGTCTTTTACAGCCCTACTGGATCTAAGCAGCAGCTGTGTTAGTGAGTGCAAAATGGAGGTGGCAGGAAGAGGCACCAGTGTCAGCAGTTTTCTGCACCTCACCTAGAATTTGGCCTTACTTACATGCCAAGCTGCTAAGCAGAAAGGAACTCTATATTTGTGAAATAGAGATAATGAGTGCCTAGCAGCCTACCCTCCTGCATTGCAGCACTGAAAGATCAGATGCTAATGTTTGTCAGTTTCCCTCCCTCCACAGGTGGTAGTTGGAGGCACAGAATTTACCCAGTGGTTCTGGATACTTGAGAAACAATGATGTAGGAACACTTGGAAGTGACAACATATCCCGAAACATTCCCTGCCTATGCTTCAAGAAAGATTTTAGTAGCAGAAGAAACATTATTATATCAGCTGAAACTGAGGTTGTCCTACTCTATCCAGTTAATTCAAGCTGGAAGGTTGCAAACTAAATGATTTAGAACAGGAGGCTTATGGGGACCAGCAGGCAGAATTGTATGTCATGTAGTACAAGACAATTTAGAATGTTGGGCAAAAATGTGAAATACCACATAGCTGATACTGGAGTGCTTGGTAGAAGAAAAGAGCAACCATCCATTTGGTGATGTTTTAGGGTGTGGAGGCACAAATCACACTTACCAGGAGCAGTAGAAAGCCATATCACAGCATCTGGGGCCGCTGAAGCCTTTTAAAAAGAGACAGTCAAGTGATTTCTCTGGCTAAACATCTTGAGAAATAAACAGGTGGCATCTGTTCAAAAATTGCTTATGGTTATCCAGTAATTAAGGAACAATTTGATTTCATTTCAAAGGCCACAGAGTTGTGTCTTTCTGTACATTGATCAGCCATAACATAAAAGCATAACCAGTCTCAAAAATAAAAGGGCCAAAAAGTAATGGCTAGATGTCAGAGCATCTCCAAAATGGCAAGTCTTGTGGGATGTTCCCACAAGTGGTTAGAATGTAGCAAAAGTGGTGTAAGGAAGGACAACCGCTGAACCAACATCAGGTTTGTGGGTGCCCAAAGCTCATTGATGCACATAGGGAGTGAAGGCTAACCTGTCTGGTCTGATCTTACAGAAGAGCTACTGTAACTCAAATTGCTGAAAAAGCTAATGCTCGCCATGACAGAAAGGTGTCAGAACACATTGCACATCAGAATTTGCTGCATACTGGGCTGTGTAGCTGCAGACCGATCAGAGTGCCCATAATATCCCCAGTCCACTGCTGAAAGTGCCTGCAATGGGGACATGAGCATCAGAACTGCATGCACCCATGGAAAAAAGTTGCCTGATCTGATGAATCTTTTTTTCGTTTAGATCAGGTGGCTGGCTGAGTGTATGTGTGTTTTCCTGGGGAAGGGATGGCAACAGGATGCACTATGGGAAGAAGAGAGCCTGGCAGAGGGAGTGTTATGCTCTGAACAATGTTCTGCTGGGATACCTTGCGTCCTGGCATTCATGTGGATGTTACCTTTACATATACCACCTACCTAGAGATTGTTGGAGACCACATGCACCCCTTAATGGCAATGGTATTCCCTGATGGCAGTAGCCTCTTTCAGCAAGGTAATGCTCCCTGCCACATTGCAAAAATTGTTCAGGAATAGTTTGAGGAACGTAAGAGTTCAAGGTGTTGCCTTGGCCTCGATTCCCCGTAACTCTATCTGTTTGAGCATCTATGGGACACCAAATCCAACCCATGGAGGCACCACCTTTAAGTTGTCCTTTCAGCAACTTGCAGGGCTTAAAGGATGTTAATGGCTTGGTGCTAGGTACCACAGGATGTGTTCAGAGGTCTTGTGGAGTCCATGCTTAAACACAACAGAGCTGTTCTGAAGTACATGATATTAGGCAGGTAGTTTTAATGTTGTGACTGAGCAGTGTATAGAAGAATGACAGGAATCTCTAGTAAGGCCCGGGAAATTATTCTGAAGCCCCTGAGAGTTTCTGTCAGTCATTTGACAATACTGTACTGGGATAAATGGACCTATGGTCTTGCTCAAAGGAAGTCTGCTGCCTGTGATACTTATTCTGTCTAGCAATCTGGATTTGAGAAAATCCTAAAGGGTGGGGGACAGGATAATACTCTGGTATGATACCTAGAAAAGTCAGAAGATGATTTAACTTATGACCTCTCTGAATGCCTGGCAACCCAGAGGGAAATGTGGCAGATCTCTTGTGCATGCCGACCAGCATTCTAAAATGCATTTTATTTTTATCAGCCAACATTACTGTAGTACAGCTGCTTTTGTAATGAACTGCTGTGCAGATGGTCATGTTCATAGAAGACAACTTCATACAGCCAGGATTCCTCATACTGAATATTTCTGAGTTAGAACCATTCAGAGGATCACTGTTCTGACTGCTTCCTTCCATTTCTCTCCCCCAACACCTTAAACTTTTAGGCTTAACTTTGTTATCTGTGAACACATACATATTATTTGCTGTTCACATGTTGTGCTTCTATGCTAATATGAGAGCCTATCCTTTCCTCATCACTTTCCTCCCCAATAGCCGCCTAGAGTGGTCTTATAGGCTAGATGGGTGGGGTATAAATCAAATAAATAAAATATTGCCTGCTTCCATCACTACCTGCTTCCTCTGCTTACACTTAGCTGGTCTTAGAGCAGTAGCTCAATGTTGAAACATATTGAGCATATTGATTGCTTTTCCAGCCCGTTGTCTGTCCAGTGTAACAGATAGGCTTCCATGGTGCAGAAATTGGTTAATACCTTTGATGTGATATTTGATATTGCAAAACCATTGATGCTCTCTTCTATATTCTTATTTCATAGCTATTAAAGCTGTGAGGGTCCATGAGCAAAAAAACAAAAACACAAAAAACCCTAAGGTAGTACGTTGCTGCATAGAAGTCAGGCAGATGTGGAACATCAGTGATTGAAATGCCAACTTCTGGGAAATAGAAAATAAGTTGGTGTGGATAGAGAGGCAATGTGATAATAAAGAGAAAATGGCATGGTTCTGTCCATCTCTTTGCTTTAGCCCTTTCCACCCACAAATGTGGCAACAATCATTTTAGTATGCAATCGCCATGAGATTATTCTGGGTGAAATCTAGCTTTTGATGTAATATTTCTGACTCCCAGCCCTAATAAATGAGCTGGCACAAAGACAAAAATTGTATTACAGAGTACTGACAAAATTAGTAAGATAATATTTTTCATAACGCCTTCCAAGAACTGTCAGTCTCTAAACTATTTTTAAAGTCTTTCTATCAAGAAACAGTATAATAAAAGGTCATTTTAGTAAGATGAAGACTTGAATCATGCTGAAGCTCTGCTCTTGAATTATCTGGCAGTGAATCAAAAAGTAGCTGTGTAGAAAAAGCAACTGTAGCCCATTTACTACAAGAAAAAAGCGTCATCTAAGCTTGGTTCTGGGGAGTTATAAAGTCTGGGGATTAAAGGGCAACATGCTTAATTCTTTGGAGGATGATTCTTTTTACCACAAAAGGCACATGTTCTTCTGCCTAAGACTCTACTTGGATCATCTCTCAAAACCGTGAGAGTGGCATTAAGATATGGAACATTCCGTTGTCTCCATGCTTAAGAGTGGAGCTCCTATGCCAATGACAATAGCAGAGAGAGATACCCTTTGTGGGAAGAAACCCACAAGGCAGGGGTACAATGTTGCCAGCACAAAATTCAGCAGGCAGTTCTTGAAGACAGCTAGGCCTTTATAACCACTATACAATCAAAAACTGTTAACAGATTCAGTATGTCATGGTACAGCAATAGCTGGAATACTGCCAGAAAAAACTCCTTAGAAATCTGGTGACAACACGTCAAAGAACTCCTGGAGCACACTTATTCCTGCCCAAGGTTGACATGTGGTCATCAGGCACCAAGAGGTCCTGTTGAGCTTTGGCAAGGTATTGTAATATACCTTCAAAACAATAGGGTATGCCATGTTAGGAACAAACAACCATGCCTGAATGGACAGAATTGCTTCTCCTTGGAAGTTCCTTAACTTCAGCTATATATAACTCTGCTAATTTCTGCCTAGAATTCCAATAGAAAAGCATGGTCGACAACTTTAAACAAAAAAGTTAAAGCAGAGAGATCTTTTACATGAAAAAAAAATCAGATAAGGAGATGCAAACATTATCAATTAAAAAATAGGAACATTTCAAGTTGAATGGAACTTAGGATCATAGCTTGCAACACTGTATCTTGAAGATGCAAATAGGTCTCTTAAAGAAGACAGCAATACAGGCAATGTCTTTAGGAAATTGACAGTAAGGTTAGAAAAGTCTAATGAAACAAAGAAACAAATTTAACATATTTATTTCACTGCTGACAATTGGGTGGCAACAGACAACTAGTAAAAGAGCTATCAATCAATGCCAAGGATTTATTGGGCCTTATCAAATTGAAGAAGTGATTCTATTTCCCTGGCAGAATAATTGTATTACTTATATATATTAAAGTGGGAAAGTCAACAGGAATTTAGAAGCAAATTGTCAGCAGTAAAACAGCAGCATGTGGACAGCAGGGGCAGATTTAATGCCACAAATGTTTTTGTCCTACTCTACCAGCCTTGGGATGGCAGCAAAATTTAGGGAGACTTTTGCTGAGAGTTAATGAGGGGGGGTAGCTTCATTTTTGCCCTCTTATAGCACACACATAACACATGTGCTTTTTATCAAGAAATCTCTGCATTTTTCCTCAATATTTGTCTGAGGATTAGTGGTCCTCCAAAGAAACACACTTCTTATGAAGTTTATGATTCCAACAGTTTCTGTCCCACAACTATTTTTTCATAGTTTCCTACACAGAAGTAGGAAGTAAACATCTAGGAAACAAACAGACTGACAAAAGAACTTAATTTTTTTCAAAACAAATTGCTAAAGCTTCCAGAAAGAGGCCTGCTCTTCAAGTCCTTTCTAAAGGAGAAGAATCCAGATATTATAGCAAAGGCAAGCGAAGTGTGGCTCCCAGATTGGTTGACTGCAACTTTTATCAGCCTTAGCCAGCACAGCCAATGATGGTGAAAAATACTAGGAGTAGCAGTCCAGTAACGTCTGAAAGACTCTACTTTGCCCTCTCATTTTATAGGCTGGGGAAAGCAAAGCAGCACATAAAATTTTCAGACGAATGTGGGTCACTTAATGATTCCTTATAAGTTATATGGAAGTGTTGCTTTAGCCCAAATCAATATTTAGTGTGATGTGAACAAACTAAAGTGAGCTTGCAGCTAGCACACTCCCCATTGATATGTCCTCTTACACATGATCACTTTTATTTAATCATGTCTTCCTAAATTATTTAAGTGGACAAATGGTGCTTAATCTTAACAATGATTAATTTTAACAATCTAGCTTCTATTTACTGAAGTCTGCTTGTTTGAAAATAACCATATTGAGAAGTAACTCCAGTTTATCAGCCCAGATGATATGACAAAAATACGGCTGAATAAAGATGTAAGTAAACTTTCCAGACTCCTCCTCTTGGCAGGAAAAAGAGGAACAGAGTACATAAGAACAAGATTCATTGTCATTCCTTCACATCACACTTAACTATGGTTTATCTGCTGTACAATCCTCAAATGCGGTCAATTTTGTGTTATACCCGAAAGATGTCTTAGAACATGGATATTTTTGAAGTGAAATTGGATTTAATTCTATTACAACTATTTCACTATTTTACTTAGCATTGGATGGATTTTGCTTAAGTAAAGCATATTTACTTAAACAATGCTATAAATGCAGCCTTGATGTGCTGGACTACACATCCTCAGACATCTTGCCTACTAGTTGGGAACGACTGCAGTTGTAGCCCAATGTATCTGAAGGACATCATATTGAGAAGGGTTAGTGTCACAAGGAAGGATACCTGACAATATAAAATGACCGAACAAACTACACCCACATTTATCTAATAAAGTGTCAGATTTTGAACAGATATTTCTGTTCAATTAGCAAGACCTGGATTCTTAATAAGAAAAGGGCACTAGTACTAGGAATGTTCATTAGAGTCCCTTTATTACCAGGGCTGGGCTTATTTACAGATAGAATTTGGCTAACTGCTACAGTGCTGAGTAGCAGAAAACTGGGCCAATAAACAAACACAGAATACTCCTATCAGTGCTGCTAGCTGGATGGACACATTTTATGTCTTTTAAGTGTGCAACAGCTGGAAACAAAAATCCTTAGAGTTCAGCAAGATCTGATATTTAGAAATAAAAATTCACTGGAGAATAGCAGCAATTCTCACTATAAGGGCATCCCACTGGGGATTCTAATATACATCCCTGTGATCTTGGCATCTCACAACTTTATGCCTGCTATATTATGAGTTGTCCATCTTTAATGCCTGGGAAACACTCACAGCCACCAAAATCGTACATAGACAATCAGCATGATAAAAAACACAGCAACGGCAGCAAGCTTGGCATAGGTGGATCGCATGTTCAGATACTTCGCATCTTGGCGGTATTTCTTGGACAAACTTGACAGATTGTTTGCCTTGGAATCCAATGCTGTTTCAAAGGAATACAAATGGGTGAAAATTAAATTTGTGTAATAAGATACATGTGGGAGCATAGAATGCCATATATTTATACAGTGGCCAAAATCCTGTTGCAGAGTTTAAAAAATGGAGTAACTTTTATTGTTATTTACAACATGTATTGTAAAGTTAAGAACTATATGTACTGTATTGGCATACTTCAGTTTATGTAATTTTCGGTTTATGAGTCGAAATTCGTAAGAAATAATGCCTCAGTTTATGTTTTTTATGGGGGTTTTTCGCTGTAGGAAAAGGACACATCACACCTGGAGGTTTATAGCGCTGCCCCAGTTGCTATGGCAATCTGCGTTCTGGTTTACATAATTTCCGCATTATGTAACATCCTGGATGATGGATTACTTTAGTAAACCGAGGTACTACTGTAGGTATTATCTGTTGCACACTAAGTTGTGTAATTCAGTATGCAACAGATAGTCTACAGAGATTTCTTATCTTATGGCAATTTATATTCAAAAGTTATGTTATCTGCATAATTGTGCAACAGAATTTTTGTCTGTATGTTTGATATTAAATGTCTAACTTCAGTCTTACTTAAAACCTGAAGTTTTAGTCATTCTTACAGAAGGCTTTCAAGCACCAATTTGTTTACTTTCTTTTATATCAAAGAGAGGTTTATGTTAGAGACACTGCTTTGGACTGTAGCATAAATTAATTTAAGGAAATTAATAGGAAACAAGTTTCCTATGCCCTCTTCTCCTCACCATCCATATCTCTGCTGAGAAGCCTTTCCATTGGATGGAGGCCTCTTAATTTATGTGGAATAGTATGTGTGGAGAGGAAAGGGACGGAAAGTTAGCTTCTGTGAATTTACCATAGGTTAAGATAAATTACTGTAGATTGAATCCAGATTGAATACAAGATTACCTAGCAGGTTCTAGAAACATTGATTGTCTTGGTTATAATAAATGTAATTATATACTTGTTGGAACATCTTTCCCCAAGGTTAACTACCCATTCCACCAGATCCCGCCAAGCCTTGCTCCTCCAGGTAGCCACTCTGAGGGAGTCCAGGAAGTCAGCCACAAGGGACTGGCCTTCTTCTAAGTGGCACTTACATTTTGGAACTAGCTGCCAGTGGAGATGCACCTGGTTCTCTCCCTCCCTTCCTCCCTCCCTCCCAGTCAAAAGGCTTCTGAAGACTTTTCTTTATAGAGAGGCCTTTCTATGCAATCCAGCCTGACTAGCGATGGGCATGACTTAAGTCGGCCCGGGGTGACGAAATTTGTTGGCACGGCACCAAAGTGCTGTGTGCTCCCTCTCCCCCACCCCCCGGCTGGCTGCCCTACTCACAAGTCTCTGTGTACCACCCAGACTGTCCTCCTTTGCAGTCTGCCCAGTCTATGAAGGTGCTTGAGTTTCCCTTTCCTGCCTTCTCTGGCAGCCGACCACTCATACAAGGAGATGAGATGGGGACTCTCCCTGCATAGCTGTTGAGTAGTTGGTTGCCAGAGGAGGCAGAAAAGGGAAGTCTGAGCTTCTTCCCAGCCTGGCAGCCAGGGAAGGACAACTGGGCAGTATGCAGAGGCTTGTGAGCAGGGTAGCTGGCTGGAGGGTGGGGAGATGGAATGCTTGGCACCTGAGGTGTTGCACAGATGAATCTCATCAGCCCAGGCCAACTTAAGTTGTGCTCATCTCTAAGCCTGACCTTATGCCTCCTGCCCTGTTGATAAAGAAAGTAGTAATTACTTAGGAAACTACTTGATTCAGAAGCTGCCACCAACAGGATTTATTATATATGAGGGAAACCTGATTGTCCATCTTTGTCAAGACTGGATTCTTTTGATCTTAGCGGCCAACTCAAAATTTGTGAACACCAAGGGCAAAATTCCCTTGGTGGCAAGCTGTCAGGTGCACTTCCTCTCAGTCACTGGTAGAATAGTGGCATACCTGCTCCCACCCCTGGCCATATAACAGGGGCAAGCAAAAAAGGAAAACTGTTTTCACAACTGCCTACATGTGGAAAGTTTTCCCCAATAAGATTCTGGCCCCCATGCTCCATCAAGCTCGTAATCTCTAGATTAGACTACTGTAACGTGCTCTACGTGGGGCTCCCTTTGACGCTGATGCAGAAACTTCAGGTGGTGCAGAACGCGGCAGCCAGACTCCTCACTGGAGTGAGAAAATACCAACATATCTCTCC